AGAGAGAGAGAGAGAGAGAGAGAGAGAGAGAGAGAGAGAGAGAGAGAGAGAGAGAGAGAGAGAGAGAGAGAGAGAGAGAGATCCCGCATTGCATGGGAAGCCGGATATGATAGTCGTTGTAACATGCAGTTCTTTCTTTTCTGGTAGAGGAGTGTATATATAAAACGCAAACATTGAATAACATGCTTTCTTCATCTCCCCTCCCCCCCCCCCCTCCTCTCCTTCCCGTTCCCTCATGCGACCTTTGTCTCCCTCGTCGTGGTCCTGCCCCCCTCTCTCTCTCCCCCTCTCTGTGCCTGCGGTGTTGTGCCTGAAGATGTGGGGGAGTTCCGTTCACAATCAGCCCAAGAAGGAAATAGGTGAGCCCGCTGGGCGTGGCGAAGTGCACCCTCTTCCTCTCCCACCTTCCCTCCCCCCGGTCCCTCTGTCTCTCCCTCTCTCCCTCCCTCCCTCCCTCCTTCCCTCTCTCTCTCCCCCTATCTCCCTCCCTCCTCCCTTTCTCCCTCCCTCCCTCCTCCCTTTCTCCCTCCTTCCCTCCTACCCTCCCTCCCTCCCTGGATTTCTCTCTCTCTGCGTCCCTCTCTCTCCAGCGGTGTTGTGCGAGAAGAGGTGGAGAGCTCCGTTCACACTCTGCCCAAAAACGAAATACGTGTGTTCGCCGGGCGTGCGCAAGTGCACCCTCTCTCTCTCTCTCGCTACATAACTCCGTCCCTCCTTCCATTCATCTATCCTTTAGTTTAGGGCTGCAGCTCCATTTATTGTGGGAATGCTATGTTGCGTGGGACAGGATTTGTGCACGATAAGGAATAGGCGGGGATCATGCCGTGAATGCGGATAGGCAGGGGGAGAAGGAACGATAGGGGGAGGTTAAGTGCGTACAGTAGTCAGGCCGGCAGGCGGGCGAAGGTAGCCATCGAAATCTTGAGGGCTGCGGTAGCAGGAGAAGGACGAAGGGGGAGGTGAGGATGCGAGATCAGGAGGATGAGACGGTCGGGATTTGGTCGGTCAGGATGGGATGCGACGACAGAGGAAGCAGGAGAGTCACAGGGGTAGGGTGAAGCATGCACGGTAAGTTTGCCAGCCTTAAGAAGGTTTTGCAGGAGGAAGATGTCGAGGAGGGTCCTAAAGTAAAATGGGAGGAGCATGTAGGTCGGGGACCCAATGTGTGGAGAAGAGGATGGGCAGCGCGGATTGGGAGGGGGCCGGTCACGATGTGGGACAGGGAGGAGGAGAAGGTCCGCATATGCCAGCCAATCAGAGTGAGGACGTAGGAACCGATGAAGTGCAGGGGAAAGAACGCCAAGGCAAACGGGTAAGGAATGCAGGTAGTGTAAGGGTATTCGGACAAGGTGGGAAAGAAGACATTGCAAGGCAGAGGGGGAAGAGGGGCTAAGGGAGGGAACATGTAAGGAAAAAGGAAAGGAGAGAGCAGGATAATGACGAAGGGCCTGAATCAGAGAGGGGAGAATAGCAAGAGAACGGGAGAATGAGGGAGGCAGAGATGGCGAGAGGGACAGTGCAGACAGAGATCCGCAGGGGATAGTACTCTTCGGGCCATGGTCTTGCCTGCATGGAGGCACGCCTGTACTCACTCCGAGTCCCGCCCCGGATGATTCTTTTCTAACCGTTAAAGACAAAAAAAAAAAAAAAGGCGACGAAATATTGACTGTGACACTGTGTGATATTACTGCGTCCTTTGAGCGCCCCTTCTCTATCATGAGTCTTTATCATGAGTCTTTTCTTTTCTTTTTTCTTTTTTTTCTTTTATTGTGCCGCTTTGCTGTCGTCTCTTCACGTCTGGAGCTCCTACCGTCACTCATCGCTATCCGATCGTCCTTTTTTTTCCTTGTTAAAAATTCATTCCACTGGTGATGATGTGGCTAGACCGGTTGGATTTCCCCTCTCTCATATCTCGCGTTTGCCGCCATTGGTGAGCAGATGCCAGGAGAGTCTTGCTATGGAGTTGCCTGGTCCACCAGATGCCAGGAGATCAGTTAGACATTGATGCTTTGTTGAAGTCATTGTTGAGGAGTATGAGCATGGTGGAGAGTCTTTTTAATGTCTGTTCTTCTTCTTGTTCTTTTTATCTTCATTTTCCTGTTGCTGTGCGTTTCAAGTCCCTATGTCAATGTTGCCTTTTGCTTTATAGGGGGATGAACAAGGGTTACAGCACAAATCTTTGACCATTCTCGGTGTTTGTCCCCGCAAGCTAAAGGATATATATGGGTACAAGCACGCACATCAGATTGTTTAGGTGCAATACCTTGTCTGTCTTTGTGAGTTGTTTGCTGGTTTTGCGCCGACCATCTGCCAATAGGTGGCTTGTTTTTTTTTTTTTTTTGTCCTGCAGGCAACTAGCTATTTATGTTGGTGCAGGATCTCAAGCTGAGTCTGTGCTTATTAGATGAAGGCGCACAAGAAAGAGCTGGGCGGATAAGGAGTCTTTCGCGAGACTGCTACAGCTGGACGAGAGTTGAATTTGTTCAGTGAAGGTGACTGATCTGTGCTCTTTGGTCGAAGGCAAGGTACAGAGTAGAGTGGCTGCGTTTGCGGGCAGCAAAAAAAACCACTCTGGTGCAGGGGAAGGCCATCTGTTGCAAGTATCTGGCGGCAACAATGGCCTGTAGACGTGGGCACACTGGTGGTGCGCAGACTGCCGGACGTCCAGACAAGCATGGAGCGAGGCCAAACTCGTTCAATACCTTGGACCATGGCTTGGCATCCCCTGCATTCAACACAAGAGGGATGTGCAAGCGCAAAAGGATTATGGGTCAAGCAGTTGATTTGGGAGATGGAGGACGGCAGACATATGCGTCGTCGTATGCGTCATCTTCGTCGTCGACGATGGCTGGGGCAGGCATGAGAAAGTTGATGGAAGAGGCTGCCAGTCAGGACCTTCCAGACGATACGAACCTGAGTGAAGTCACTGAAGAGGACAGAAAGGAAAGAATGCGAGTGGTGGTACGAGTTAGGCCCCCGATGACGCAGATATTCCCCCCCGATGTAGATGAAGTACCTGACTCGTCTTCGAGGGAGAGCACGAACGAGGATGGGGGCGAGGAAGTCTGTGTACGCATTGAGGGAGACAACGTTTTGAGACTTGATGCACCTCGGTCATCTGCAGCATGGGGAAACAACGATAGAGAGAGTCAATCTGTCTCATATGAACTGACTCAAGTCCTTGGCCCATCGACATCACAGGTAACTGATCTTGTCTGAATTCTCTCTCCTTCTCCTGACAGGTCCTAAGCCATAATCCCGAGCTCTCAGGACTCCTGTCTTACTGCACTTGTCTGCCTTTTTGAGGGGATGGTTATTGGACCAGACGAGAGAAAGGGTTCGAAAGAAGTTTTCATCTCCTCCTCCCTGCCTTCTTTTCTCTGGAGCGCATTGCCGTACTGTTATGCCTGAAACGACCGTTCCTTCACATGTTGTCGAGGCATATACTCGTGGAAGCGAGGACCTGTTCTTTAGTTGTTTACGAGTGTCGTACAACTCGTTTCAGTTCCAGGAACAGTGCTTCCGCCCTTGGGGCTTAGGATTCACAGCGGTTTTGTGCTTGGTTCTTCTCTCTACACCACTTCAGGATTTCGGTCTTGCTTGGAGAGGGAGGAGAGGGGAGGGGGGAAGGGGGGGTCATCTGCCAACAGCTGTCAGGTTGGGTTTCTTACCCTGCAATCTGTAGTTTTGTGCTGCTTGTGTTCTTTTTTTTTTTTTTTTTTTTTTTTTTGTTTCCGATGGACCACGGATCAGATATTAAACTGATCAGAACAGATACTACACTTGATCTTAGCCAAAAGGCCGAGAAAGGTATGTGCTGCTTGTGTTCTGTTTCTGAGATGAGGGAGGTACTCCCCAGGTGCTAGCGGTGTCTGCTCTTACTAGCACCACTATCACTGGCGGGGGTGGTTGTTTAAAAAAAAAAAAAAAAAAAAAAAGATGAGGGAGGTACTCAAAGCTTTGCTTAATGGGGTCATCAGGCCACAGCAGTTGGCTCGGATCTTTCACAGTCTTTGCTTACTTGGAAATCTGTGTTTTGTGCTGCTTTGGCGTTCTGTGATGCGATCAGATGGAGGTATTCAAATCTACCGTGGAACCACTGGTACAGAGGCTGTTCGACAACTCAGAGAGTGGGGTGCTTTTGTCTTATGGGGTCACAAATGCTGGGAAGTCCTACACAGTGTTTGGAAGCCAGGACGGGACTCAGCCTGGGTTGATCCCTCACACTCTTCGCGCAGTGTTTCAGTTACTGGATAAAAAGAAAGAGTAAGTACTTTTTCCTTGTGCCTGTCTCTCTTTTTTCTTACAGTCCTTTCTCGACGCTGTCTTCCCTCTTTCCCCCTTTTGATCGGGGAGACTGATTTCTGCTCGCTGTGGAGAGGAAGAGCCCTCTGCTTTTCATAACTACTGTCTTCCCCCGAACATAACGTGTATGCTTTGTCTTTGAGGTTAAGAAAATCGACTTTCCAAAAGTTAGTCCATTTATATTTTTGAATAGAATGACACTTTGAATATAGATCGCATATGTGTTGCATTCGAATGGAACACGCATGCTTTCTATTTGAATTTCAGAAGGAAAAGGCTGTTGTAGTTGATTAGAACATTACCTTTTGTTTTCCTGGAGGCCAGCGCCTGCAATTTGCATGTATATATATATGCGTGTCATCCTTGCGCAAGGGCCATGCTGGCCTGCAATTTGCATGTATAAAAAAAAGAAAAAAGATACGTTGATCTGTGGGATGTGTTATTTGCTTTGTGATAATTAGATTATCTTTCTTTCCCTGTCAGGTTTGGTTTCCTCCTCCCCTTCTTTACCTCTTTGCCTTTTGGCTGCGTGCAAGTGGGTCCTTGTGACACACGGGGATGGGGGCAGCCAGCGCTCAACCTGTCATCCACGTGGCTGGCCTTGTACGTAAGAGGTTATGAACAGGTGGAGCTTTCCTTACCTCCTTCCCTTTCCCTTTTTTCCTTTTCCTTTTTTCTTTTCCCCTTTTTGCGCTCTGATTCACAATGTGACAATATATAT